GTAATATTTTTCTTTAAACGAGATTAACAACGATTTGTTTTCGTTATTTGTATGATTACCGTAATCTGTTAAACCATTGTTCAATTATTTTCCTCATGGGCATCGAATCCAGTTGATAGACAAACACATTTAATCACATGTACAGCAAACCAGCTAACAATGTTGGCCATCTTATTTACATACATGAGTAAGGATTTATGTAGAGTTTTTAGCCATAATGTCACTATCCTCGTCCTCAAAACGAATTAGCGATCTATTAGGTTATAATTAGTGAGGCAATGGGATGATTAGTACTAGAACGAGTGATTAAGCACTGATACAAAGTGATTACCACCAACGGATTGCTTTGAAATCCTATTAAGGTTTGGAATATTAACTAAGGTTTAGGGCCGGTTTTGCATTGCTGAAATTATTTTAAAAGCAGTTTTTTTAAAAGAGCTGGGGCTAAAATTGTGTTTGGTGAATGAAAAAAAAAAGTGTTTTTTGTCAAAATCATGGGTTCAAAACAGTAGAAAAGCAGAAGTAGCTCCACCCTGCATCTAAAAACGTGTTTTTTTTGTTTTTCACAGCACAACAATTCTAAACTAGCTTTTAATGAATTTTACCAATATGAGCAAAATTAAAGCTACATAAATTACACATAATATCATTCATTAATGTAAACTAATGATTAGAAATCTATAGAATAACTCGTACTAGCACGCATGAAGATATTAAAAATAAGGTGTCTTTAAATTCTGATAATCCAAGTTAATTCTCTACGATGTTTGCTTTGTATTGCACCTAAATACATGTTACATGGTAGGTTCGATGATCCTTCTTCTATTTGTTTAATATTGTGTATGTTAAGAGTGGCCGCCTAACTTTCTGAATAGTTTATGAGTACTCATTGAACCTTAAACAAAACAACCTTCCCAATATAATCATTCGGCTATTTCTGTTTGTTCATATTATTATTATTATATACACTTTTTGCCTCTCTCTTTTCTTTCATGTTTTTTAATCGTACCTTTTCCTGGTGACTTCTCCCCCAATTTCTTGGGAAACACATTGTTCCATGTGAAAATTCTAAACGTTAACTATGCTTTGTGTTTGTGTGAGAGAGAGAGAGAGAGCGCTTTTATATGGACATTGACATCACACTGTCCAGAGTTTTAGAATCTGACAATTCAGACTATTCAAATTAAATTTGACGATCTCCATTAACTCATTTTGCTAGCATACTTTACATAAATCAAGAGTTTTGATTTCTCTTTCACATAAACTAAAAGACCGAAATTCCTTAAGCTCTAGACACTAAACTCTAGAAAGTATCCAAATTCGATTGACATGTTCATGTCATTATAAATCAAAAGGTAAGAGCTTGAACCGACCATTTTGTATGAAAGCGTTTAATATTTGGGCAATGAAAAAGTAGTAATATTTTGCGTATATATTAGGGTCAATCATCAGAGCTGGGTGGTGGTCCAATATATTAAACCTAAAGGCTAATAAAGCTTTACATTTAACTAAATATACTTAGACCAAAAGCTTTAGGTTGAAAATGCATGTTTCTAGCCTCCTAATCTTGCTTTGTCTCTCTCTTTTGTGTAATTTCCACTTAGTCGGAGAAGAAAACAATTAAGTAATCAAAATTAAGTTGTTAATTGGCTGTGAATTAATGTGGTTCATGTAAGATAATGATACTCTAGTGCTTTAGAGCTTAACCAAATCACTTTCAACAATCATACACCCCACGCTTATGTTTTCCTTCTTTTTGTCGTATCATCATTGCATTAGAAATGTTCTCTTGGTCATCTGATGACTAGTGACCATTAAATTTGATATCAACGATAGAGAGTAAATGAATGTGCTTTTGGTGTTTTAAATTCAACTCTCGTTTCAAATTCTTAGGGTTCGTTTGGAACTGTTTTCAAAATGATTGAAACCGTTATTTGTGAAAATATTTTTGAAACCAATTTTTAGTAAAAATGCAAGTAAATCATGAAAAAAACATTTGAAGTGGTTCCTACAAGAAGCACATAGTTGATGCTTCCTAGAAGGAGCACATCCCTATTGCTTCTTGCAAAAAGTGTTGGAAAATATTAATATTTAGTTTATTTGAATGTTTGGTTTTCTGGGCTTAGCCCATTAGCATTAGGGTTTTGATTTCTTACCTTTTAGGATTAGGGTTAGTTTATTATAAGTAGCATGCTTGTTTTTCATTTGAGAATAAGCTATTCACAATGTAGTTCTTAGGGTTTTGTAGCCGTTCCGGCATTCTCAGTTAGTTTAATAATATTCCTATTATTTTTGTTAGTCTCGTTCGTTGCGCACTCTGATATTCAACTTGGTATCATAGCAGGTTTGATTCTTCGGGATTGAATCTGTTCTTGGTAGCTAGTTTTTTTTTTTTTAGTTTGCTCGGTTTTAGTTTTGATAAGGTTTTGTTTTAGAAAAAGGTTTGCGTCTATTTGCCCAGCCTGCTAGTACCATCGGTGCTGCTCAACTTGCACCAGCCTGTCCATTACCAGATCGACTCACACCAGTTTTTTATTGTCGTTGCCATCCCCGACTCCAGATGCTTCGTTCCCTGCACCGTTGCTGCTCAACCCGAGAACCACAAACTCGAATTGAGTTTGTCCTCGCCTTGTCTTCGCACCGCCACTGCATCCCTTCTCTGCCTCATCAGATCACCACCACGCTACCATTGGAACCACCCGTTGCAGATCCACTGCATCTGCACCAGTTCGACTCGCCCTGCACGCCTGTACAAACCCGACCAAATCCCCTGCAGTCTCCCACCGCTGCAACAAACCACGATCGAGTCGATGCTCATTGCACTCTCTCGGCCTCACTGATCTTCTGCACCATCCTATCATCTGCTGTGCTTGTTTTGTAGGTATGAAGAAGACCAGACCTCCAGAAAGGGAGTAAGAAAAAAAGAAGAAAAAAAAAAGGAAAATAGAAGCAAAGGAAGTGAAGGAAAAAAATATATATATTGGTTGTATGCTGTTGCTTTAGGCCCACTCGGGCAAAGACAAAAAATGGTTAAGTTTGTTTTAGGTCCACACGAGTTGTTAGCTGTTTGGAATTGTGTTTGTGACGGTCACTCGAGTGCTTGAAGGTGTGATCATTCGAGTGGTAGTTCGTTGCTAGAATTGAGATATGAAAATCTCGTCCGTTTAGTGACGGGTTCTTCCATACTCTTAACACTAGCCAGTCAAGAATCAAGAACCAGTTTGCCAGTTTGTTAGTTTGCAATCAAGAATCAAGTCTAGTCAAGAATCAAGTCAATAATCAAGAATCAAGAACCAATTTGCCAGTCAAGTCAAGTTCGCCAGTCAAGTCAAGTCAAGTCCAGTCAAGTCAAGTCAAGTAAAGTTTGCATGCCTACCAGTTTGCCTAACAGAGCCAGTTCGCATCTGCTTGTTTGCAAACCCATGTCGTATACCGCCATGAGTTTGACGGGGGGTGTTGGAAAATATTAGTATTTAGTTTATTTGAATGTTTGGTTTTCTGGGCTTAGCCCATTAGCATTAGGGTTTTGATTTCTTACCTTTTAGGATTAGGGTTAGTTTATTATAAATAGCATGCTAATTTTTCATTTGAGAATAAGCTATTCACAATGTAGTTCTTAGGGTTTTGTAGCCGTTCCGGCATTCTCAGTTAGTTTAATAATATTCCTATTATTTTTGTTAGTCTCGTTCGTTGCGCACTCTGATATTCAACTAAAAGTATTTTAAGTGCTTTTTGAAATCCACGAACATTTTTTTATAACACTTTCCTTTTAACAGTAATTAAAAACGAATCTTTAATCATCATGATACTTGAAAAACAAAACTCGCATTTACTTTTTTTTTATATACAATAAAATATTATCCAAGGGTTGGAGATGGTCCAAGACAGACAGATAAATTTAAAGTCACTCAGTATTACAGTCTGGTGATATTCCTCTTCAATTGAAAATGAAAGGCGTTAGGTTCGAATCTCATGGACGACGAATTCGATACCAAGTTATGATGCATATTGTGTGACTTGACCGAACTCTTCCCCCTTTTAATGTAAAAATATTGATGTACTAAAAAAACAAAAAACAAATAAAATAGTGGCTTATGGTGGAAACAAAGCTATCAACTTTCCCAGCTTTGACGGGTAATGTGTCACATATCAAGTATGTACGTTTTTGTTGGCAAATCCATCAGACATTGGAGGATATTTGACAAAGCAAGGGTCCAACTAATGAAGCAGTCGAGGTACTAAACTACTCAAATTATAAATAAAAAAAAGATCCAAAACTGTGATTTACATTGATCAAATGAGCCTGGTGGTCTCAATAGTGATAGTGTCGGAAGTATGTAATAGTCTCAAAAGTTTAAAATGGAGTCCAAAACGAAGCAAATATCCCCATTCACATGAGCAGCGCCATGAGAAATATTCTCTTTCTTTTTTCCTCTCTAATTGTTTCTTGCGTCATACGGCATGAGAAAATATTTAATTTCCCTTCTTTTTCCTTGGCTTAGGGACATTATTTTAGAATATGCCATGATTGTTCAACGGACAACCGTCTAAACACAATAAAATCTATAAATAATTAAATAAACAAATAAAAGCTCTACAATTCTTTTTTTTTTTTTTTACCGATAGAAATGATAAGGAAACTCTCTCAAGGTGGAATTCTGTATAGATTTTCTGTCAACTCATATTTTTGTCACAGTTTTATAATGCTGGTATGAAAATTGGGCAAAAAACATGAAATGACGGGAATTCTTTAAAGAGTCTCATTTTTAAAAGAGTGTATGTGGTCAAAATAAAAAAGAAAAGGGCATAGTCTGCGTTTTGAATGGTCCCCTCCATGTCTATGGCAACCTACTTTTAGTTTTCGTGATTAAAATTAATTTTCTTCCCTACATGTCAAAGTAGCCGTTGCACCTCCCCCTCTCTCCCCATTTAAATATGTATATGTCCCTAATCTTTCCACCAAGAAATCCGTGTTCCCTAATCCGCTCCTCTCCTCTCTCTCTCTCTCTCTCTCTCTCTCTCTCTCTCTCTCTCTCTCTCTCTCTCTCTCTCTCTCTCTCTCTCTGTGTGACCATGTTTCATCCAATGAATTCCACTCTGTTAGAAAACAAACGTCTCTCAACAACTCCCTTGCTCTCTGCCTCAGCAACAAGCACCAGCAGCAGCACGAGCAGCGAGGCCGATGGCAGCCCGCCGGATTCAGGCCGCTTTTCGCTCCAAGATCATGTCAAGTATCAATTCCCCTGCGTACCCTTATCCGGGTCCTTCTCGTATCGATCGTTGGCGGTGCTCCCCGGACATGTAGGCTCGGTTTCGTGCTTGGCCTTGTGTGGTGAATTCATCCTCAGCGCCTCACAAGGCAAAGACATCATAGTCTGGCAACAGCCGGATTTAAGGCCTTTCACGAAATTCGGACAAGGCGATGGCAGCGTCAAGGCGGTTGTTGCTGTCGGGAACAAGGTTTTTACAGCGCACCAGGACAGCAGGATCAGGGTTTGGAAGGTTTCGCGGAGGTCGGAGAATGTCTTTAGGCTTGTCGACACGCTTCCCACAACGAAAGACTATTTGGGGAAGTTCATGAAGCAGAGTAACTATGTCCAAACTCGGAGACATCACAAGCGACTGTGGATCGAACACGCGGATAGTATATCGTGTTTGGCTTTCCATAACGAGTTGATTTACTCTGGTTCATGGGACAAGACGCTCAAGGTGTGGAGGATCTCGGATTTGAAGTGCGTAGAGTCGATTAAGGCTCACGACGACGCAATCAACGGCTTGGTGGCAAGTAAAGGGACTGTGTATTCTGCTTCTGCAGATGGGAAAATCAAAGCTTGGGGAAGAGAGGGGAAGAAGAAGAGCACACATTGTTTGAAGGGTATTCTGGAGGGGCACAAGGATGTTTCGCTTAACTCCGTGATCGTTTCAGAGGATGGGAGATGGGTTTATGGGGGCGGCTCTGACGGGTTTGTGATGGGATGGGAAGCGAGTAATTGCAGTACTAATGGTGGTGATGTTCAAAACAAACTTGTGGTAAGTTGGAAGCTGGTTTGCGAAACAAAAGCGCATGGGATGGCGGTTTTGTCGATGTGTTTGATGGGGGAGATGCTGTGCAGCGGCTCGGCGGATAAGAGCATCGGCATATGGAAGAGGGAGGCTTTCGGTAAGCTATGTAAAGTTGGGGTAATTAGCGGCCATGAAGGACCAGTGAAGTGCTTGCAGGCAGCACCAAATAACGTCGGTGGCGGATTCATGTTGTACAGTGGAGGACTTGATAAGAGATTGAGAGTTTGGTGGGTTGCAAAACCTTCTAAAACCAGAGAGGAAGATACCAATTCAGTATAAAGTTCAGAGCAATTTCCCATTATTTTGTGCTACGATACATTTGAAGCACCCATCTTTTTTAAAGGTGTGTCTGCAGGGCCTTGAAGTAAAGGGACTCTGTTCATAGTTTCAGAAAGATTAAAGAGTTTACTGAGGTAGAGAAAGGGCAATTTTGAAACCTCAAATGTTTTGGAGTTGGTTTTGGGTTTGAGTTTATGTTGTAACATTTTTTTTTGTTTTACTTTTTTTCAGAGATTTGTGTGTAAAGTTCTAGGAATACATTTGCAATCAATTGTATTTACGATTTTCATGATTCAACAAGTTTTACAGTCAATAACATTTTTTTGTAGTTACATATGTGATGGGCTAGCCGACATTCACCTCTCCCAGACCCTGCGTAAAGCGGGAGCCTTGTGCACTGGGTACGACCGAATTACGACCGAATTACATATGTGATGATTTGTGCTGCAGTTTTTAAGCTACTATTTAAGAACAATCAGGTAATCCAATTAATGTTTCTCACGTATTTAAAAGTGCAATACTCGTCTGTTAAAGGAGATAAACTCTCTTATTAATGAGACATAATCTCAATGGCATGAACCATTCATAAATATTTTCTGCGCATTCAAGAAGTGTACTACTTATCTAATAAATGTTTGCCACGTGATTTCTTTGGTTACAAGAGAGTTTCTCTCCCCCTGAAAACTGACTGAATTCTTATGAGATGAATCTTGAGAGACAAGGACAGTCTGAGAATATGGTAGGCAGAGCTAGATTACCAACATAAAACACCAATGATGTTGTTTAGTTCCCAAAACCCCACCAGATAATCAGTGGAGATTAGCACATGTCCTGTCTACAGAACAAACCAATAGGGTTCTCCTACTGGATATATAGTTTAGTATTCTATGTTGCCACACTACAATTGTCACCCATGACGAGTTCAAAAAAAACGACACGACAACGGTACGTGTTATATTATATGATAATTTTATAAGAAACTGATAATTTTTCGAGTTCTTTTCTAGATTTGCATTATATAGATGCTATGTATCTTCCACTCGACTATTTCTTTATAAAGAACATCTTCAATTCTTTACCAAATCAATTATTCTAAAACAACCAATTAATGCATTGCAATTATTGTCCTAATAAAATGAAGTAAATGTTGTTGAAGGTGCATGGACTAAAAGGAGTTTTTATTAGGAGATTGAGTGAGCCAATGGGCTTTCATTACAATGTACACAACCATTGTGATGTTCTGTATCAATGGATACAATGTCATGCGAAAAGAAACTTAACAATGTATCATTGGGACCGAATAATATGGTGATGGTGTGCCCATATAGTGAAATTTGGTCTCCTGGTACTGATTCCTCTTCATAGATGGTGTTGACCGATGAATAGATATTTAACTTATAAGTCTCGTTTGGTAGATATTTAATTTATGTGAGATAACTAAGTCCGTGATCTTAGAATCTAGGCCTAACGCTCGTAACATGGCCCAATTGTGCAGTTCACCACACATCAAGCATATATTGGACAAATTGTGCAATTTTCAAACACATTAAAGACATATCGAACCCCTAATCTCATTAAAACTATATATTGGTTATAAGAGATAATCTTTCGTAACGCTTGGCTGCCAACCTTGGTCAGAAAAGCATCGGATTTAAAAAATAAGCTTTAACAAATGAAAGGAATGCCTCTATAGTTTCATTAATTTTTTGCCTCTATAATTTCATTCATTATTAGTACCAAATAAATAAAATAAATAAAAATAAAACTTGAGCTCGTTTAAATAGCAGCTACTCCGCTTGTCGAATCCGCAAGCGGTGAACCACCAAATTTATTGGTTCAACCACCACTCAGCAGGGAGGGCCTTCCTCGTAACATGCATACATGAACACCACTTTAAAATTATACATTCTCCCTTTGTTGCTGCAAGACTCAGGGAGGGACTGTCCGGATTTCATTGTCCACATCTCACTAAACAGGTAATTCGGACCACTCAAATTGAATTCGCTCATTAGCTGTTCGCTTTCAGGTTGGGCAGTAAGAGGAACAAGTAAGACTCATTAACATACTCTCTAGCCTCTCTTTCTCCATCTAATTGATTTATGTTCATTCTAGGGTAACAAGATGGTTAGAAACGGTCCCTATGAACTTATTCCGTGACCCGATTTTCCTGGTCCTTAGATCCTGAACAGTAAGGTTTGAGGAGAAGCCAAATTACTCAGGAGGGTCAATGGATTGAATTGGACCCCTATTTATTATAATAAAACAGTAAAACTATAATAAATAAAAATAAAATTTGAAACTTGAAACTTGAGCCTGAATTGTTTAATTGGTTCATGCGAAAGGAAGCTACCAACTAAAGCTACAAATTAAGGTGATGTTTTCATCACTTGAACTTGGTTTTTTAGATTAATTAATATAAACAGCCCTCTAATTTGGACCATCCTACAAGTATTAGTGGAAAATCAACTAATCAAAGCAATGCAGAAGCACTTTTTGGAGCAAAGGGAAGGGACCACTGCTCAAGTTGAAGCAAAGCAAGCGGTTGGGTTGTGAAGTTTTGGGAAAGAAATTATTAGTAAACGTTTCAGACGAATTGTGCTTTTGGGAATTTCAATTAATTTGTTTGGCTTTCGATGTTCGATTCACTTGTTTAAAATGCGTTTGTTATGTTACATTACATATGCATGACATAATCTAAGGCATAGGTTATGACTTGATACAATAGAGTCAAAACATCTTCATATCTAAAAGAAATGGTGCTCAATGAAACGATCCAGATTCCACACTATGTTGTGGGTTGGGCAGGGAGCGCTGCTCTGTGAAGGAGAAAAAAATAATGTCAAATAGAAACGAACATGGTCTTACGGCATGATCATTATATCTTTTTTTCTTTATCTCTCATCTGTAGTAGAATCCCTAAATTTGAAATTTTAAGGTTTTAACGATTTTATGTGACAATTTGATTGGGTGCAATTTTTTTTTAAATAATTTAATATTACATTGTTCTAAAATAATTTTGTAAACATTTTGACAATAAATCCATGAATCGCACCCTTACTCTCAGCTCGATCAGTCATTCATCTGTCCCATTCACCGCGAGACCGTCTTCGAATTCGAATAGTGTGATCTTCTGCCGCATACACTCCGTTCCTAAGAGGCCGCAACTCCCTATGGTATGCTGGTTTTGATATTTGGGGTTGGGGTTTGTGATCCAGGAACTTATTTTACTGTTTAATTCTCAGCTTCTTTTAACTTTCAGGTTTAGGGTTTACATATAGGTAGTATGATAGGATTTTTAGAACCTATGAAAAGATGGAGTATAAGGTTGTTGTAGAATAGATGTTTATGCAATGTCGTTCTTCACAAGGACTATTTCAATAATTTATGTAGAAACAATTTCTAATTAACTACTTAAAATTAAAAATTGAGAAAAGAGATTTTGAAATTGGATAATATTAAAAACGAATTTTAATTAAAAATAAATAGTAAATTTGCCCGAACTAATACGATAAAAGAAAAGAGTTTTAAATATCAATTTATAAAAACACTAGGTTCCACCATCACCTAGCAATCCTATGAATTTTTAATAATTACTTATTCATGCTAAGGCTTAGGGTTTAACCCTAGCAAAATGAATTAGTTATGCATATTCATAATTAAAATCATAAAAAAATATTATTATCAAGAAAAGAATTGAAAACACCTTAAAGTAAAAATTTGAAATCTTCGAAAACCCTTGAAATCTTCGAAACCCTTACATCTCACCCCTTTCATTTAATTCTTCACACTTATATAATCATTTTTTTTTTCTCGAATTTTTTCTCTTTTTTTTTTCTTCATAATAATTTTGTTTAAGTAACAGTAGTGGTCGTGCAATGTCGGTTTCCTTAAGCTTTCGATCCAACATGTAGCAAGCTTTAGGTCAATAACTCCCAAACCACTAGGTCTTTAGGGGCACTAGATGTAGAACATCCCTAAGAACTTATTAACTCGAGCTGAAAAGGCTACGAAAGCAACTAACCACCTTGCCTCATGCCAAAACTCTTTTGTTTGATGCGAGAATCATTACTGATTAGGCATAACTGACCCGGTTACTAGGCAAAGCCTCGGGTGGGACAATTATTACTTAAGTTATAACAACTAGCTTTACTTTATTTAGAACAAAAATTAAAATACACTTAGACAAAAAGTAAGTGTTTCAATCTCATTCCCCACAAACCATGTTGGTGTGATGTGCAAATTTCAAAGTATAATTCATGAATTAGTGTCTAAGCAACGATAAATAGAAAATATTTTACGGTAGGATTAATCTTCACGATGTACATTTGTTTTAACGTTTAAAATAAACTATGGATATTAACTTAAAAACAAAAAAATTTAACTGACACAAAAATTAAAATACCTAAAACTTCTACTTTCCCACCCCCAAACTTAAATCACACATTGTCCTCAAGGTGTGAAAAATAAAAGAAAAATAAAAAAAATAAAAAGACTATTCCCTAGAACAACAAATTTAAAAATAAATAAAAAATCGAGCAAAGGCAAACAAAATAAACCAGGAAAGGAAAAATAAAAACAGAAAAAAAATATAAAATAACAAATAAAAGACAAAATAAAATAAAATAAAAGGAATTGGACACACCTGGCACGGTTCGAACCTGGACCTGGAACTGAGGAAAGGCGCTGGACCTCTCACCCAACGCCCATTCTTCCAAACCTTCCATCTCACAACCGCTTCTTCATCCGTGTTTCTCTAACCCATCCATGGTGGAACAAGCGTGCAAAGCTAAGATGCATGAAGGTAAATCCCTCCTCCATGTCTGTTATTTTTTTTTTCTCGTTTCAGATTTATGGTTATGGTTGTGAAATGTAGCAAGATCTAACACATGCATGTGTTTAAATCTGTGTGAGGACCCCCAATCTTGCAAAACCGAGACAAACAAGAAGATAAAACATTTAAGAATGATGTCTCTCTTTTTCTTTTCTTTTTTTAACTAGAAAAATATTTAAACCGGAATAAAAAAATATATATGGATCTTACTTACTTAAACCAAAAATTCATCACAGGATTAGAAATTTTAGACGGCTTGTAGACGACAAATAGGGATCTGCTCAAAACATCTGAATCCATGTCATCATAAAACGCATAAATGCATTCAAGTGTTGTCATCTCAGACAACAACTTGAATCCATGAGCTGAAAGGATTCCAACTGCAATTAAAAACATATATCAGATAAATAACACATTTAATTTCAATGTTAAATGGATATATTGACCTAATCATTCATTATAACAAGTAAAACCTACCGGATAATGTACCCATGTCTCTCATTGCAGCCTGAAGCAGGGAGTATGCCATATTCTCTTTCACCGCGTCAATCTCCACGCTTTTGAGATAGATACAGGTCAAGTCAGTTTTTTTCTTTTCTCTGATTTTTGTTTTTCTCTCACTTATTTTGTTAGTATAATATAATTAAAATATATTATATATGTTAGTGGCATATTTTTATCTGAATCTCAGTGTAAATTATGTTTTCGGGAATTACTTTAGCATTGTTTGGTTTTCTCTTAATGCTTATTTTATAATATTATATATATATATATATTAATATTGTATCCATGTCGTATCGTGTCTTCGTTTTTTTTAATTTAATATTTCCTAATGTCATATCGCAATGTCCATGCAACATAGCCTAGAACCAATCATTCTGATTTTCTCTCTGTCGTGTTCCTGTTTTATGCTTAACTTTGCACCCTATTTATAAGTGTAGGGTTTAGTTTACACATCTTCTAATCTATTTGGGATTGGAAAGCACACTTGTATTCTTATTCCGTTTTTGCTTTCAGGATTCACAATCTAATTGTACAAGAAAAATCTTATCTTTTTAGGACAAAAATGTGTACCTTAGCTTTCCTAAAATAAAATAGGACTCTTTAACAAAAGACAAACCAAATCATATGCATGAATTGGTGTGTTACCTTGACAAAAATGTTCTTCTAAATTAATTGCCCTTTTGTGTTGGAAATATGTTCACTAAGTACATGCACACACAGATATATATACACACACATAAGTATATTTCATTTGTCCTTAGTTTTGATACAATTTTGCAATTAAACCATAAACAAACAAGTGACTTTCGGCACCTCAATTTTCTAGGCCTCAAGTCAAACAAAGATGTGGAGTATTTTGACTCTCATGGAACCACTGTAATAATTGTGATTTTCTATGTTTTCATTTGATTATAGAGGAACCAGAAAGTATGGTAATCTCCGTAAGATAGGTAAAGTTTTGTAATGTCAAAATTTTTCCAAGTTTATAGCACACCTTGTATTGTATTTATTTCATTTTTCAGTTGATGAGTGTGCTTGTAAGTGTGTAAAGCTTGCGGATAATATATATGTATTATTAGTGGAAAGAATGAAATAATTGAATGAAGGGATCCAATATTTTAAGGAGAATGCTAGTGCATGGAATACCTCTGAAAACCCGCTTAAGTCTATAACCAGACATGGGTTGAAATATTTGTTATCTCTTGAACATGACGGCGACCTTGCTTTCGTCATGTGTGCGGTTACCTTAAGGGTAAATTTGACATTTACTTATGTGATTTAAGTTTTATCATCATTCGCTTTGTTTTTATTTTTATGTATATTGTAGGTTCCACAAATCATATATCTTGTTTATCGAAACAACCCTGCAGAAACATGACGTGTTACAGTGGGTGATCTTCAAGAAATTGTTTTAGGATCTGGTGCAACAATTGCTAGTAAGTATTTGAAGACAAATTTTTCAAATAGCGTGAAGATAGACGCGTTGAAAGAGAATATGGCATACTTCCTTCTTCAGGCTGCAATGGGTTACCCCTTGTACTGATGTCTCTTATTGCAGCCTGAAGCAGGAAGTATGTCATATTCTCTTTTACCACGTTTATCTCCGCACTATTTGAAAAATTTGTCTTCAAATACTTACTAGCAATTGTTGCACTAGATCCTAAAACAACTTCTTGAAGATCACCTACTGTAACATGTGATGTTTCTGCAGGGTTATTTTCGATAAACAAGACATGATTTGTGGAACCTACAATATAGATAAAAATAAAAACAAAATGAAAGATGATAAAACTTAAATCACATGTGTAAATGTCGAACTTACCCCTAAAGTAATCGCACATATGACGAAAGCAAGGTCGCCGTCATGTTAAAGAGGTAACAAATATTTCAACCCGTCTGGTTATAGACTCAAGCGGGTTTTCACAGGTATTTCATGCACTAGCATTCTCCCTAAAATATTGGATCCCTTCATTCAATTCTTTTATTCTTCCCACTAATAATTCATATATATTACCCCCTTCATTCAATTCTTTTATTCTTCCCACTAATAATTCATATATATTACCCGCAAGCTTTACACACTTAACAAGCACACTTATCAACTGAAAAATAAAACATAAACGAAATGAATAAATACAATACAAGATGTGTTATAAACTTGGAAAAATTTTGACATTACAAAACTTTACCTATCGTAGATTCCCCTAGAATCAAATCAAGGAAAACAAATCCATAGAAAATCACAACTATTACAGTGGTTCCGTGAGAGTCAAAATACTCCACATCTTTGTTTGACTTGAGGCCTAGAAAATTGAGGTGCCGAAAGTCAGTTGTTTGTTTATGGTTTCATTGCAAAATTGTATCGAGGCACACTACACAACTAAGGACAAATGAAACATACTTATGTGTGTGTAATCAATTACACAACTATGTACTGAGTGAACATATTTCCAACACAAAAGGTAATTAATTTAGAAGAACATTTTTGTCAAACTAACACATCAATTCATGCATATGATTTGGTTCGTCTTTTGTTAAAGAGTCCTATTTTATTTTAAGAACGTATTAGGAAAGCTAAGGTATATATTTTTGTCCTAAAAAGATTTTTCTTGTACAATCAGAATCCTGAAAGCAAAAACGGAATAAGAATGCAAGTGTGCTTTCCAATCCCAAATAGATTAGAAAACCTAATCAGACTATATGAGTGTAAACCGCACCCTACACTTATAAATAGGGTGCGTCGAGGAGGGGTGAAAAGCTAGGAACACGGCAGAGAGAAAAGATTGGTTCTAGGCTATGTTGCATGGACATTGCGATACGTCAAATTTAAAAAAAATGAAGACATGGATATGATATATAAAATAAGCATTAAGAGAAAACCAAACAATGCTAAAGTTATTCACGAAAACATCATTTACATTGAGATACAGATAACAGCATGCCACTAATATATTTTAATTATATTATACTAACAAAAATAAGTGAGAGAAAAGAAAAATACTTGACTTGACCTGTAAATAAACAACAAAAACACCAGTTCTTTATCATTTTTTCAATAAAAATGACAATTCAATGTAATGGTTTAATCTTGTCAATATCAATAAGTAGCTTAGGCAACCTAGACAGTGGCTCAAACTTGTCTTCTTTTTGAAATCGAATTTGTCTGGACTTGTTTGTTTATGGTTGCTGAAAATCATATCAAGCCTCGTAAATTACGCACTCGGTGAACATATTAAAGAAACACAAAGGGTAATGCAAGGCCCAAAAATTAGGCACGTACGAAATATATACATATAAATAAAACATTAAGACAATTACACAACTACATACTTCGAACATATTCCAAAAACAAAGGGTAATGAACATTTCATTATGCTAACACACCAATTCATGTGTATACTAATAAAACAAACACAGCTGAATTTTTCTTGCTACACAGCATATATGTACATAAACGTAGTCCTAAACTATTGAGCCTATTAAACAATATTTCGGGCAGCACAATATCAATAGGCAGCTTGGGCCAGCTACACATAATGATTCAGTCCACTCTACAAACAATCAAACTCAATTCAACAATTCAGTTAGAGTTGCTTAATCAATTAACCTACTATTCAAATGGGGTCATGCAAACAAATGAAATTTTACTCTGTAAAAACCTAAAGCATACCTCGATCTGGCGTCTCATCAAGTTTCTTCTCAAACCATCCATCCAGTTCCTCCTCAAACCATCCAGCTGGACGGTTTCCACGACTTTTTGATGCTTCTGCCTTGCTTTCTGTTAGTGGTTTGCAATTCCATTTTTAAATGTTAAATACAAATTGATTAAAAAGGAAAGAGAAAAAAGATAACAGGCCAACAGGAAGAATGCCAAAAACTCAGTATACATGGGATAAGTAAAAGTTTTTAAAGCCCCTATTAGTAGAACAATGTGAATCACACAGCATTTAAGTAATGATGTTTTACCCTTTCTATTTATGAACCCTTCATAAGGGGTTTCTGCGTCCTGATGATTCGGATCTGAGTGCACTGCGGATCACTTGAACGGAGTGTTTGCGGCGGAAGCCCACACTACTCAAGTTCAGAGATGGTCTCACGGCAAATGGGACAGACGAAGGACGTACGGATGGAGCTGAGAGTGAGAGTGGGATCCATGGATCTGAGCGGAGAAGTTGTGCTTAGAGATTCCGTTTTGTCGAATGGAAGAGAAGGGATTGTGGCCGATTTAGTTGGGGAGATTTGGAAACAAGCCCTTTTTCTTTCTCTAAGGAAGGGGAGGAGAGAATTGAAAAATGGAGAAGAAAGGCTGAGAGCAGTGGAGCGGCACTATTAGGGTTTTAAAGGGTGAAACATAAAATGGTGGCTCAAAAGAAAAAAAAGATAATGATTTAATGCATTGGTGAAAAGAGAATGGGTGTGAGATGTAAGGTGAATGGTCTAATAGTTTTATCAATGAAAAACAAGGTTGATTAGATGTTATGAAAACTGAAGACTCACTAAAGAACTTCTAAATTTTTGCTAAACTAGTGTTATCGAGTTGTGGCGTTCCGGTTCAATAATGTAAGGCCATGTGCAAGCTAAGTTTTTATCCACATGAAATGATATTGTTAGTCGAGATACCCATGGAATCTAAAAAGGGCCAAAGGGCAAGTGGCTAGCCCAATCCAGCCAGCTAGCCCCGGGTTGGGCTAAAACGTTAGTTACAAGATAATGTCTTGACATGAGACTTGATCTGTTTGACTATGGAAGTATGAGTAGGAGACCAAGATGAGGGGTTAGTCTTGAGCTTGTCAAATAATGGTTTGCATGGTTCTCTCAATTTTGGGTAGAATTCTGCAACATAATTTAATGATCCTAGAAATCTTTGGAGTTGGGTTTCATCAATGATTTCATCTGGGAATTTATCTGCAAACTGGATGACTCTGTCTATAGGTTCGATTGTTGACTGATGGATGTTGTATCCTAAGAATCTTATGTTGGTTTAAAACAATTTTATTTTTGTAGATGAAACGACTAATTCGTTTGACTTAATTATTTTGGTGAACATATTCAAATATTTCTAATGTTCATCAATTGACTTTGAATAAATGAGAACATCATCAATGTAAAGATTGATATTTCATTCATTATGTTTTGGAATTCACTGGGACTTTTAAAGGAAGGGTTCTCCATTTTTTTGAAAATGATGACTAGTTATGAGGTCTACATCACATCGAACTTCAACGATCCACACCGTTTATTTTTCAAGTTGGACCTCATAGATCATCCTTACAATATATTAGTCGATAAAAAATATTTGAGACATCTAATTGAGTTCAAAAAATTTGACGAACACTTTACTCTATAAGAAACAATAAAATTTCATTATAATAATTAAATAGATAAATGGTTTCAGATTAAATTGATTTTTTGTAATGATAATCTACAAATTGAGGCTTACAAAAGAGACAGTTCAGATCGTTGAAATTCGACGTGAAGTGAGCCGTACAACAAATCCTCATTTTTACCCAAAAATGAGGATCCATTTGAATAAAGGGCTTGTATAAGAATAAGTGCAATGCTCTTTTCTTTTCTGACTTACATTTTCATATCGAACAAAAGTTTTGTAAAACTCTTTTCGTTAAAGCTTCAATTCTGAACTTGCACTGTAGTGCTCTATTACCTGGATAAATTTTTTCCAATCAATGAAAGTTCTGCTACCTTGAGCTTCTTGAGATATACTATGATTAGTCGTTCTCTCATAATAGCTGGTATATGTAAAGCTAATAAGCCATACATCAATGGTAGGGCTCACAATACATCAACTATCAAATAAAGACCCCGCATGTCACTTGTGCTTTTGACAAACAAAAAATTTCTTACTTCTCCCTAAACTTGCAACAGTTATTTGCTAACTTTGAAAAAATAAAAAAACCACCACAAGATTTGTTTTCTATTAAAAAAACTAAAATACTAGTCAAAAAGAGAGAAACACATGCACTGCCTATCCGAGAAATTTTTCAACATACCAGAAACACAAGGTACACAACATATCATAATACAACTATACAACTAGAATGATACTGAAAAATAGCTCTCCTCTTCAATTACGACACTTGTTCTGAGTAGATGAAAATTTCTCCACATACCCATTTCCATCTGGCACAGAACCAAACTAACAGTTGATAGCGGAGTTAACAAATGGGCAAAGTGAGACGCAAGACAACCAGTGGAGGTTTTGAGAGTGGGATTTCTGTTGAAAAACATGCAAATAATAAGCCGAGAATAAAAGCATTGAGAGTGTCCCAGCAGCAACTTCATTAACGAGAATGGAGTGACTTCACACTTCAATTTTATCGTCGTGCACTAGCATTTTCGTAGCCATGATCAAGTTATTCAATGGAGAATCAATGGACTAAAACAAGTTGGAAGAGTGCGGGAGAATAAAGAGCGTGAAATTTGCTTCCCTCTTAATTCCGAAACAATTTTTTGCTCCAGAACAATCCACCTTGATACTCTTAATAACATTGGTATGCATGCAAATGTCGTGCAATAACACCCAGCAACTATCACAAGATTCGCTAAAAAAAAATGCAACGGTTTAGTAGTTTCCTATCAAGGAAGGCATAAAAATGAAAGACACATGCCAACTACGTTGAGATCAAAAGTGTTTGTAGCAAAAGAGGCAACAAGAAAACGCCATTTCAGAAACCTAACCAAACTAGCATTTACTTAGCTATGCAGGCCTCTGAATACCAACACTAAAGCAGGACAATCAAAACATCATTAAGAATGTGAGAGGCAGCAAGACAGAGTCATTCGGATAACAAAATCAGTAACCGTCCGCATAAATGACAAACGTTGTTTATTTCTGATAACAACTCATTTAAAGGTCAAATTTCAAAAGTAATAGGTAAGATACCCATGGCCAAGAGAATTTTATTGTATCACAATGATACCATGCGTTGACGGAGAAACACCCAAAGCCCTCACTAACCTGCAGAAATTAAAAAGTCAAAATGTTATTTCCTAATAACCAAAGCGCAAGGAAACACCATGAGGCGAAGAATATTCAGTAGCACAACAAACAATGCTATATTGGCACTAATGGAAAGCCATATGGTAGATAGCTTTCAATCAGAGAAAGCAATGATAAATTTTCTAGCCTAGTAAAAAATATGGTTATCAGAGGTCGCACTTGGTGCGATGGTAAGTGCCTTCGCCCATGAGCGGTAGGTCTCGGGTTCGAGACTTGGGAGCAGCCTCTCCATAAATGGAGGTAAAGCTAGCCGACATTCACCTCTCCCAAACCCTGCGTAAAGCGGGAGCCTTGTGCACTGGGCACGACCTTTTTAGTAAAAAATATGGTTATCAACAAAGGTAGGTTAATTCCATCCTATTAGCTTATGGTCTTCAATCATTTTTGTGAAACCCTGTTTCTTGCCAACGCAACTAGTGCATTCATAGATGGAGGGAAAATGCTTATAACTCAGTGGACCTTAGGAAAGGTTAGTTAACTCAGCACTCACTTAACCAACTAATTATGATAAGACAAAAACAAATTATTTTAACAAACACTGAAAGCATGATAATAATCAAATGGCTACGAGATTTCTGATTTGGCTGATGTCTTGAAAGGTGATTCTTAAAAAGTGACCTGAAAAGCCAATAGCTCAAATCATTGGATAGAGTGTGAAGGGAAGGCGCCGGGGGGCAAAACTATTATCCACTCTTTTCCTAAATAGCGGATCGTCTACATTAGAGAAGTACAGATATTCATATTTGACAACTTTTAAGAGTTAAAAAAAAAAAAAAAGATAAGCTCGCAAAGACATAATAGTATTAACTTAAAAGAAATTGCAAAAGTGTTGTTGAAGGATAAAAATGTTGCCAATTCAATGTACTAACTAAACCAACGTTATTGCATACCAAATGATGACATTTGGGCCTGTAATTCTGGCCCTCTTTCAATATACCAAAATTTTACATTCAGAAAAAGGTTTATGACCAATTTGAACAGAAATACATTAAAAAGGGGTTGAAACTCAATCCAGCCTAGAACTATATGCAAAGTGAACAGAAGATCAATCAGTAAGGAATACATTGAAGTCTTATAGGGATATGTGGAATAGCCTAACAGCCCTGACCCAAATTAAACCAATCAGTTCAAAACTAAATCAGGCTCTAATGCAGGAAAATAAGACACTAGGTTGAATATAAGGAGTATAGGCTATGTTTGAGTGAGGGCTGCCAAGTTCCAAGGGATTGAGACCAAGTTAGTATGGAATGGATCACAAAAGGAGAGGAAGAGAGAGAAGAGAGAGAAAGAAGGGGGGGGGGGGGTGGGGTTTGGTTCAAGGGATTTGCAAATCCTCTCACATGCTTTTGTAATGGTCCTGGAGGGCTTTTATAATCCCTCCTATCTAACATTTTGTGATCAATTTCTTAATAACTCAACTTCAATCCCTTGGGACTTGGAAATCCCTGACCCAAACATAACCTATAACATCTAATCTACTCTATAATGTGATTACATAGAATACTGAAAAATCCAACATAAAACATTTTTCTTTTTTCCACTTCATCAATTTCAAATCTGTATGCAACTTTATTCTTAAAATCAACAACATGACAAGTTCAATCAAGCCAAATAAGACAGGCGGAAAAGTATTTCTCCACAACGATTGTTCCTTTTTACCAATGCAAATAAATGCAGCAAAATACACACAAAACAAACGGTCCGCAGAAAATCAAGATCCCATCTTCAAGCAAACAAAGGTGAAACATTGTTTAAAATAGTTAGATTTCTACACTCTTCAAATCAAATCCCTCTCACACAATATTTAGATTACTACACCCTCTTCAGGTTCCCATCTAATCAAATCTACAAAATTACTACACAACCTTTAGATTAGACAAGCAAGTAAAACCCATCATCAAATCAACAAATATTTACGAAAAGATACAAAATTGAAGCATCCACTGACCGAAAATATATACTTTGAAATGTTCTCACACAACAACCCAAAATAAAATAAATATCACCCGGTAACCCATTTTGAACCACAAATAAATAAGGAACATAAACTGCATCTGTAATCAGAAAATTTACAATGACCCAATTGAAAAAAAAAAAAAAAAAAAACCCACATTTATCGAATTTTTAACAAACGAATCCTTTACCCATAAAATGAAGAAGAAAAACAATCCAAAAATTGAATGAAAATTTAAAAAAAAAAATTAGGAATATACCATTTGTACGATCGAGGTCAATGGCCATGCTCCTTGGCGTGCTTGG